AGGTAATGGGAGGAAGTTCAGGTGGAAATAAAAAGGAGAGAGAAGAGTGAAATACATGAGACATAAGGGACATGGCATCCAGGTACAATGTGTGGATCTTGTTGGCTCTCGCTTCCAACAAATCAACCCTAGGGACACATTTATGAGAGAATCCGGGAAATCTGAACACTGGCGGGATGTTTGGTGAAATGAAGTATGAAGCAGGTGAAACGAGATTGGCTATAATTGTTTTGTTTTGTTTTGAGAGAGCGAGCACGTGTGCTGGAGGGAGGGGCAGAGGCAGAGAGAGAGAGAGAGAGAATCTTAAGCAGGTTCCACCCCCAACACGGAGCCCTCTGCGGATCTTGATCTTGATCTCACAATGCTGAGATCATGACCTGAACTAAAGTCAAGAGTCAGATGCTTTACCAACTGAGCCACCCAGGCACCCTTGCTGTGATAATTATTGAACCTGGGTCATGGGTCCATAGGGAGTGATTGTATTATCCTGTCTACTTTTGCATGTTGGGAAACTTCCATGGAAAAGTTGGGGGTGCAACTCAAAATTACATAGTAACATTGGACTTTGTCAGGGAGTGAGTGACCAATAGATCTCTAAATATGTTCCCATGGGTATACATAAGAATTACACAGAAGAGTGGTAAGTTGTGAAATCAAGATTAGTACTGGAATTTCTCTCATAGCAGTGATTTTAAGTGAGTTGCATGGGAGGGGGGAGCTGTGGTAGTGAAGGTTACATGGAAGTAATTGTCTTTCTATTTTTTCCTTTTCTCTTATTTTTATCCTCTCTATTTCCCCAGTGCATGAGGCTCTTGACCACCATAAAGAAAGCTAGAGCTGATGCATTGTCTTCATTACTTCTGAAGCTGATGGAATGGTATTTATTGCTTCCACCTAAGTTTGAGAAATTCAACATTTGTCTATTTCATCAGTTCTTATGTAGCTAGGAGAGCTTTTATTGTCCTGCAGATTCCAGATGCTACTGTACCTGCCCGTGCTAATTTAACATTCAGCTGAAGATAAACACAAGGTTTTGAAAGGAATGATCATTCAGGAAGATCATACAAACCTCCTACTCCCCCCAGCCTCCCCAGGATCCGTGAGAGCTGTAAAGGTGAAAAACACTCATATTTTTGCATGCCTGTTGGTTAGGAGGACCAGTTAGGCAACAGTCAGATACCTCTTAGGGAATGATGAGCAGGTGGTCTAGCCCCATGATGGCCCTGAACAATTTAACTTTGACTCTAAGGCAGAATTTTACAATTAAGGAGGGCAGTAGTTTCTTTGTTGTGTGTGTGTTTTCTTTTCTTTCTTTTTTATTTTTTAAGATTTTATTTATTTATTTGAGAGAGAGACAGAGCACACAAGCAGGGGCAGAGGCAGAGGGAGAAGCAGGCTCCCTGCTGAGCCAGCCAGGAGCCTGATGTGGGGCTTGATCCCAGGACCTGGAGATCATGACCTGAGCCAAAGGCAAACACCCAACCATCTGAGCCATCCAGGCTCCCGTGTTTTGTTTTCTAAAAGGAAATAGGATTGAAATAAAATGTGAATTGGATACTCATGTCTTAAAGCTTTTTTAAAGGAAACATTAGAGAGTGAGAATATTAACTTCCACTAGATAATATAAGCCATAAAGAGGAAAACAAGAGTAGACAAGCCTATGTACAGGAGAAGAAAAATTCAACTCTGAAAATGGTAAAAGACCACAATGAAACCTATGAATGGCAGACTTAATAGGAAAACAAACGAGATTTAGAAGGGATATCAAATCTGGGACAAAAAGAAAAAAAAAACTCTTGGAACCAATATCCATAACTTTGCTTAACTTGGTATATACAGAGATAAGGAAAATAAGTTATACACTACTATTTAGCCTCTGAATGCAGTTTTTATTATTTAGACTAGGTAACACTGATGAAAATACTTTAGAAACTGTAAAATATTCACAAATATAAAATACACATGCACTTAGTGCTGCCTTTAGATTTTTTTCTAAGGTGTCATCATAATAACTGTTTGCCTTGGAGGTTAAAGTTTGGACTTACGATTTGGGCTTTTCAGTTTGAGTATCTTTAAAGTCAAATAAAAGACATGTACATGGAAAGGAGGCAGATTTGTTCCATCAAATCTCCTTTATACTTTTGTGTCACGCTGTATCCGTGGTGGAGTTTAAGTGGCTACATTTCCTTGCCACCTCTCCTGTGGTTTAGTTCCCTCCACTTTCACTGGGGGCCAGCACAGCGACTCGCTTTGACCAGCAGAATGTGGTGGAAGCCTAGCAGCTTGCACTACTGCCCTCTGAACTACTGCGGCTGGTGAAGAGGCCTGGATTAACCCCCCTGAGGCTGAGAAACCACAGGGGCTGAGAGGCGGGCCGGCAGTCAGCAGACTCCTGAATGGAGGAGGCCCGCGGAGACCACCTAGCTCCTCCCCTGTCAGAGGACTGTGGCTGCATGAACCGTCCCAGGCCCGTCCCAGGCAGGACGGGCAGGACTGCCCCCATGCGCCCAACCCAAACTGCCAATCCATGAACTCAGTTCATTACCTTTCCCGGGCAACAGGCTTCCTGGGATGGGAGCACCATCATGAATCACTTTGATCATCTGTTCCCACTTTAAACACGCCCACATCCCTTTGGTGATCTCATGTCACACGGTTTCCATGCTTTTCAGACCTTACACTGACCTGGTCACTCTTCTCTGGACATAGTCCATCTTGCCAAATCTCTCTTTACATTGTGTAGCACTCAGAACGGAAAACTGCTGCAAATACGATTTGCCCCTTTTACCTGCTCTGGTTCTTTCCTAGAGCTCCTTTCTCATAACAAGCCCCCGAAACAGGAGCTTTACCTCTTGTGCTTTTAACCCCCTCCCCCAGCGGCAGAATTTTCTCATGTCTCAGGATCCAAGTCCACTGGTGTCGCCTTTATAATGCTTCCCTGTCTGAACTGTTCCCGACCCCAAAGTCTCTTGTCCTTCATCCGTACAGCTCTTTACACTGAGTGTTAGGTCCGCTGTGTCTGGCTCCTTGGCTAGGCTCTGAATTCCTTGAAAACAGTTATTTTGTTTTCTTTTTGTACCTTAACACTTCATCCAGTACTTGGCATATATTAAATGCTTAGTAAATGTTTAATGAGTTGGATAATTACCTAATATTCTCTGGGTATTAAAATACATTATCTTCTCGTCTACATTTTCCCACAAGGCCATTAAGAGAGACCATCAGATTCCTGTCTAAATCAAGATGTAAGATTATGTCCATTGAATTTTTCCCTATTTACCAACTCAGCCCATCAGCTATGGTGCTGCTTTCTTTTTAAATGCTGTCAAGCCTGCTGAAGAATTTTGACAGAAATGTTTGTTTCCTGTTTCTGGAATGTGTTCACTCATTCTTGAACATTGAGGCGTTTGCTTTATTTTGGTTTTTCATCTCTTTCATCCACAGCCATACGAATTCACTTGCAGTAATTTCAAGATTACATACACACTCTGGCGTATTTTACTACTGTGGCACATCAACAGTTGGGGTTGGTAAATTTGATCTCATGCGTTATAACTATTAATACAATAATAGTACTTTACACTGTTAAAGTGCCTCACCATTTGCAAAATGTTTCCCCAGATCTGATCTCATCTGCGCCTCACTCGAATGATAGGTAGGTGGGTAGGTAGTGATGCTTATCTGTGGTTTTCGGTCAGGGAAATAGCTTAGAGAGAGAGGTCACCTGACTGGGTAGAGAGTCAAGAATTGAACCCAAGCCTTTCAGAGCAATTTAGAAGCTTGTTTAGGGTCTGGGCTCTGGTGCCTTATGTGCATTCTGCTCAGTCCTGATTAAAGAGAGCTTTTCTCACGGAGAAGGACAAACACACACCACCAGTTGAACAGCTCTGCTTTCTCCGTGTGTTTCCTGTTCTTGTCATTCTCCAACCTTTTTTCCTCCAAGCTTTTTCCTTCTTATTCTCCCCTACCCGGCTTTGTGTTCTGAGCATACCCGTTTGGTCATACGTTCTGCTTGCCTGCGGAATTTGTTTTGGTGCTGCAGGGACGAAGGAAAGAAACGGACACTCGTGCCGGGCGCTGCACCCGTGACTCCCTGTGTTATTGGATCAGTGTGGTGACCTAGCAGGACAGGTGAAATCATCCTTCATTTCTACAGATGACGAGAGGAGGCTCAGAGATTTACGCAGTTACTACCTACCATCACATCCATCTCCCTCCAAGTTGTCTCAATAAAGATTTCAAGTGGAAATATCTGCCCTCGGAAGTGATTTTGTGCAGAATTTAATATGCTTTTTTGTTGGTTTTGTTTTGTTTTAAAGGGGGCACACCATGATGGTTTTCCTTTTTTCTGTGATATTTTCATATTTTGAGAGTGTGGGAGTTTAGGAAGTCCTGGGGAAGGCCGGCTGTACCTCTTGCCTTCCAGTGTGGTTGTTCCTGTTTGGTGTAGGTCACTGTTAAGATGTAAACTGTTACCTGGATAAGGGTTGCGCACCCATGCAGCCCTGTTATCCACCTCTCATACCTCAGCAAGAATTAGTGTCTCAGATGGGTCATTACAGAGACCAGAGCTCCAAGGAGCTGGGACCCGGGACAGGTGAGAGATGGGGGGAAAGGGCCAGGCTGTCACCTGGGGGCCGGCATCAGGGGCGGGTCTGGGGGGGGGTGCACTGGTGCATCCCTGCGCAACAGGCAATGAGGACTGGTGCCCACGAGGAGGCTGTCGTCACACCTTCTCCTTAACCTCCCGATCTAGAGTCAGTCTTGGTGCTGCGGAAGTCAATGCGGTGACCACACTTCTGAGTTTTAGGAGTTGGGCCGCACACACAGCCTCCACCTTCTAGAGATGATAAGCATCTCTCTCCTTAAATTGAATTTCAACAGCACGCAACCTGGTGGCCTCATAATTACAAACTGCTAAATGTTAGAGATAGAAGGAAATAATCTCTATAATGACTGTGCTTAGTCATAAAGCAATCTCTTATTTCCCCACTTTCTAGACAATTGCAACACGACTTTCCCAGGGCCCTGATTTTCAGCACGGATGATTTTTTCTTCAGGGAAGATGGTGCCTATGAGTTCAATCCTGACTTCCTGGAGGAAGCGCATGAGTGGAACCAGAAAAGAGGTGACAAATTCCTTTCCAAATTCCCCGGGAAATCCTATCGTGCACATAGATAGTAGCTGCTGCAGAATGAATACGTTTTCTAGAAGGAGCGTAATCAAAAGTTCTGCCATTTCCCCCCCTAAACAGAATGTCAGAGCATAACCTCCCTAGATTCCAGGAAAAAGAAAATGATTGGTAATGGGTTCTGAAATATGTGGCACTAAAGTTGTGTAATGAGGACAGCTGTGATAAAAAATAACAAAATATGGAGTACACTCACCCTTCTGATTGTTGCATGTTGTTCACTGTTCTGTAACATTGTGTTGCAGCCAGAAAAGCAATGAGGAATGGCATATCCCCCATTATTATTGATAATACCAACCTCCACGCCTGGGAAATGAAGCCCTATGCAGTCATGGTAGGAAGAAGCATCATTCCGAATTTTCAGTTATGGACATTTTGTGAGAAAGTTGCAACATTTGTTCTTTCCTCTTCTTCTGATCTGCCATGATCTCATCTTTATTAATCGTAGCTCTCTCAGGGCGCAGGTAAAGAGGTTTAATTTTAGTGTTTCTCGGTTGTTCAATGGCTGAAATTTGCTGAGATGCTAATTATCACCTCAGGGTACGTTTTTAAATTGTCCTTGGTCTGAATTCTTGATAGTTTTTCTGTCTTGATTGTTTCCCAAGGGGAGACATACATGCCCAGGAGCACCCTCTGAGACTTACACAGAAATACTGGTTGGACAACGCTACTAGCCGAGTGGTTGATAATAATAAGCCCCTTCTGTCTTTGGCAAGCCAGGGATTTCAGTGCTGGGCGGTATTGGTGCGGGAGAGTCCGGGGCAACTTTTTTTTGGTTTAAAAACAGATTGAGAATTAGCACTCTAACCCTATTCGGATACTAGAATATAAATATACAAAGATAACAACTCGGCTCTCTATTGTCAGAATAGGAAAGAACAGTAAGATGAATAAAACATTGTGCATATTTTTAATTTTGAAATATGTCTGATTTTTTTTCAGACATATTTCATCTCTTATGGTATCAAGTTTTCACTTCCTATTGGGTATATAGACAGGAGAAAAGATCCTGAAACACACAGGGCAGGAAGAAGATAGCTGAGTAGTCTGATTTTGTCACACACAATCCCCACTTGGCTAACTGTAAAGGGAATATCTCCAAAACGGGGCTTGTGACTTCTTTTTAATTTGGGGGCAATCTAGCTTCTATACAGGTACGCTTTTCTCGAACTGTATGTCCATCAGGTTTACTTGGGCCCAGCCTGTGGGACTTTGGGTTCGCGAATAGGAAGGAATGAACATCAGCTTTGTGGTTACTTCAGTTCATGGACCAAGAGTCCACTTGGGAGAGAAATGAACAGGGACATGAATAGTCTAATCAAGGCACAACTCAAAACCAAGAGTTAGCGGGAGAGTGGCTTAAGGGAAGACATTTTACTTTTTTATTTTTTATTATCTGGAATGTACAATCTTTTTCAGCCATCCACAGCTATTAGTAAGACCCAGATATTAGATATTTTCCACTTATGATATTTGAATCCTTCTCTAATTAGATGGGTCCATCTCAAGAATGAAGAGGAAATCTTTTTACTTTGCTCTTTTCGTTCTGTATTTTAGAACACAATAAACGGTAGTGATAATAAAGTTCAGATTTTGAGATAAAAAAAGTAGTAGCCAATTTATGGATGCAAAGAATATTTGGATGTTTATATGGAAACTGTAATCATTTTCTAAACTCGAGGAAAATGGGGCACAGTGCACGGGGCCAAACTGTGTTGCATAGAGGGGAAAGCTCCCTTTGGCGGGAAGAGTTTGTAAAGAGTATGGGAAAATCACTTTTATTTCATAAGCTCTGTTCCTGTGGCACCCTGACTTTCTAACCAAGGTGTGAGGGATGGGACAGGGCATTTGACAGAAGAAACTATGCTAATCATATAAGGGACTTTGAGAAGCCACTGAATGTATTTCTGAATAGGATATTTAAAACTAGTCCAGCTATCTATTTTTTAAAAATGTCCCAAAACAAAGAACCTTTATAATTTTCCTACATAGTAGATAAAATGGACCAAAATTTATCATTGGGAGCCATAATATAATCTGAGAGCGGCTAAGCATGGAAATGAACCAACTGTACTTGTTAAGATAAACTCAGGCCTTGGATTACTGGTAAAACAGAGGAATTGTAGAAAGGATTTGTAGTAAATGTGAAATGGCAGCATAAACATTCCCAAACATACATACCATGTCTTCAATGTTTTATGTACTTTTGAAAAATCAGGCACTTGAAAATAACTATGAAGTTATATTCCGAGAACCTGACACTCGCTGGAAATTCAACGTTCAAGAGTTAGCAAGGTACTTCTTTGTTTTTCTAGTTCCTCATTATGTATCCTGCTATTTTCAGGTATTTCAGACCGAACAAAAGAATCTTTTCAGGCTGGAAATGGACATGGTAGTTTTTCAGGCCAGAAATGGTAATTCTTGGAAATTGATAACTTTGGAATTATTAATGTGAAGACTTCAGTTTTGGGTCAGTTTTCTAATATAATGCTAAATGCTAAACCTTGGCTTGGACTTGGTCCTTTTAAAGGACACATTTAACTTTCTGCTGAAATGCTTCTTCATTAATGAGCGTTTGAAAGCACTTTTCTCTGCATGGGATTGCACATGTCAGCGGTGTTTCTGCATTTAGGCTAAATCTTTAAAGGTCTTCAGATGTTGAACAGTCTGTGGTTCATTTATGGTCTAGATGCTGCTTCTAATTTATAAAGCAATACATGTCCAAGTAAGACTAACTTGTTGACTGAGTGCATGAGTTCTGATATTCACTATGTGTTACTAGATGATGCCAGTGATTTAAAGTAACCAGTGAGATCAGAATTTACTTTTTAGGAATAAGGCTAGTTCATTCTATGGTTACAAGCAGACAGCGGTTCCAAAGTGGGTCTGTGGCCCACCCTCATCAGGATTGCCTGAGGGGGTTGTTGAAATCCTAGTTCATGGGCCCCATTCCATTGTGGGGAATCTCTGGTAATTGCATTTTGAACTATATCCCCAGTGGTTTCTCATGCCCACTTGAATTTAAGATTATTTTAATTAGCATCTAGAAGTACCTAGGACTGACTGACATGAATCGATTATAGAGATATGCATGATTAACAGGCAAATATACAATAAAAAGATCTCACGGTGTTCTTTTACGTCTTGAAGCACAGAATTGAGACTTCCAGAAACAAAGCATCTGTGAAGGTCTTGCTCTTTGCTAGGTTCAGGGCGGCATGCAAAACAGGAGTGGAGCCTGAAAGAGAACTCCTTAAGGAGACCTCACGCTTCTGTGAGAGTTAAGTCCTGAGACAAGGGAGTGCATCTCTAAGTAAAACGCAAGTAATTCCTTTTGATAGGCTGCCTTAAGTAAATGTTTGCATTTGTTCCCACGTAGAAGAAACATTCATGGAGTCCCAAGAGAAAAAATACACCGAATGAAGGAGCGGTATGAACACGATGTTACCTTTCACAGCGTGCTTCACGCCGAAAAGCCCAGCAGAATGAACAGAAACCAGGACAGGAATAACGCGTCCCCTTCCAACGGCGCACGATACTGGAATCCCTACGCAGAGTTTCCCAACCGGAGGGCTCCTGGGGGCTTCACAAACGAGGGCTCCTGTAACAGAAGAGGCGGTTGTCACCATGGATATTAGAAGCCTGTCTTACAAGCATTCGAAATTTTCCTAAATCAGTTTTTACTGCCAATTTTGGTATTTATTCTTCGGTTTTCGTCAAAGCTCTAATTCCAGTGTAAATAGTCCGACCTGAAAGTTTTTGAGCAGAAGCCATTATACTTCATCTTCGCCAAGCATTTGTTAAAGTGATCCTGTATGCATGGTCCGACGCTGGGAATTCGGCCGCTTTGATTGTAAACAGAGTCCCTTTCTCTAGGGAAGCCAGATATTGGAAACTGAAACCTGAGAACGTACCCAAGCACAGAAGCAGTCACCTAAGTCCGATATGTAGAAGCTTCAGTACCACTCTCTCTGAAGGAATCTATTTTTCCAGGAAATTCATCTCCATCAGGAAAGTTGGAAAGGTGGGGGAGAAGAGGGAGGCAGGAAAAATGGTGCCATTGCTGCTCTGAGAATCTGTGTATCCTCCAAATGTGCGAGGTGTGGCTGTCAGGATGATACTGATTTTCCTTTAGAACGCACATGCCAGAGAGCATACACCTAAGGGAATGTTGTCCTTCAAAGTAGACACTTGGGGAATTACTCCTTTATTCTAGTGATGTGTTATTGTTAAAGAGGTCTGTCAGATCCTTCTTTTAAAAATTTTTTTGGAGACAGAGAGCAAGAGCGGGAGAGCGAGAGTGGGGGAGAGGGAGGGGGGAGGGAGCGAGGATCCTAAGCAGGCTCCTCGCTCAGCAGGGAGCCCACTGCGGGGCTCGATCTCACGACCCTGAGATAGGACCCGAGCTGAAATCAAGAGTCAGGTGCCCAACCGACTGAACCACCCACGCGTCCCTGTCCAATCCTTAACAGCCCTACAAGCTACTGAGGAAAATCAGTGTCATTACTTAAAGTCACATCTTGGTTTTAAATTACCACTTTATTGAATAAGTTTAACCTAACTTTTGGCTGTTGTGCTAATGTAAATTAAAGAAGCCTGACTTTATAAAGCACCAATTTTTAAGAGTTAAGCAGTTTTTGAAATTATGCCTGTTAATAGACATGTGTGTGATCACTTGGCTGCCCAAATGTTTGGGAGTGCAAGGAATTAAACATCCCAAGATAGAAATCATACAGGGCGATGTCTAAGCCATGCCCATTGGAAGATGACCAGTCTTGGTGTTTTATGTGGCGTTAAAGTTCTGCCACAACTCTGGAATGTCCCTCTTATGCCAATACTGAATCTATGATTCCAAATTTATCTCAGCAGGTTAGAATCACATTTGGTGTGAGACCATGATTAAGTAAGACCATGTAGGATGTATGCTTTATTTCTTGTTGGCCAACAGCTTCTTTCTAATGTTCTGTGAAATATTATTTTAAGTGTCCTATATAATGGTGCTTTTATGGCTATTAAAAATTATATATGGTATTGCTTTCTATGGATTTGTCACTGAATCTAAACTTTTTTTGGACCAATGATATAAAAAAGTTATTCACCTAAATCCCATAGAATTCTACCATATTAAGAACCAGTTTTTCTATATCTTAAACTTATTTACCAGTCTCCTCTAATAGGAGACATAAAGACAAAAGCAACCTTATATTTTACATGCTGAAATTATTTGATCTGTGCGCATTAGAAAGACTGTTACTTTAACATTTCAATACCTGACACGACTGAAATCTTACCGCTATGTAACCAGTATGAAGTGGCCCCAGGTTTAGATCCAGAGCTTTTAAAGAGCTCAGAAGAGTAGTGTCCCTGTTTTTTTTTTTTTCTTCTATGACACCTGAAATACTTGGTTTGGAAACATAAAAAGAATTGATTAAATGCTGCCAGCTTTATCCCGGTAGAAGTGATCTATTTTTTCTCTTAATTCGTATGTGATTTTTTGAACACTCAACTTTAGCTTGTAGTGTTTTGTATTACTAACCTTTGCATCGTTCATATAGCTGGCATAGGGCTTTATGTACAAGATAATAGGCTCTCATTAAGTGATTGTTGAATAACACAAGTTGCTTTTACCTTTTATCCCTTATACAGTGCACCTTCTTGACTTTGAAATCATTGTCACTTCTTAGAGGATAATTATCCATTTATACTTAAGCTTCATGGTTTGCTTATATAGCTTTGCTATATTATTTACAATGTATAAAAAAGGAGTGTGTGCATGAGATCTCTCTGTGATCTAAATGGTAATGAAGAACGGAGGAGGTACTAGCAATTCAGGTTTTCTAGGAATGAAAAAAAAAAAGGTAAAATTCTTATAATTCTTTTTGTTCACCTGAGATTCAAGTTTTATTCCCTGTTCTAGAGTGGATCACTTGGAAAATGATTGGGGTGTGAAGGACCAAATTGTTTGAACAAAACTTAAATCACGTATTATTAAGACTGGCAGAACACCTGAGTTAAAAAACTGCAGAATGGACTATTTATTATGTTAATAATTCTTAGAGGAGAGAAAAATCATGGATCACAGTTATGAAAGAAAAAACTGCTTCTTAAAAGATTTATTCTAGGGTTTGAAATGTGTTTATAATTAGATTTGAAAACATGGTATTTTATATAAATTTAAGACATATTAAAAGACCTGTTTGAAGAGCTTCTCCATGCTATTAGCTCCTATTAGAACTGCATTCTCTTTTCTCTATTAAGCATAGAAAGGTAACAGATGAGAATGTCCTCTTATATTGAACTATTCCTGTCTGCCTTGGTGGTTAGAGAAAACCAGGTTTGAAGGAAGGACTTGCTGAGTCCTGTGATAGGGCTAAAAATAAAGCAGGTAGAATCACGGCCAATTTGAAAGAAAGATTTTCTCTTAAGTTGCAGATGATCATTTTGTTAAAAAAACACGAACACTATGAAATCTGCTTTAAAGCATTTGAATTTTTAATTAAAATAATTCAGCGATCACACTGGAATCATAAAAAGGAATTACATTGAAGATTCTGTTTTTCTTGCAGTTATGCTGTCTTAAGGTTGAAGAATTGGTCTAAAGAAAACACCACTGTTGTTTCTTACTCCCTCTGACTTTTGATGAGGATAGAACTATAAGAGAACCAACATTCATTAAGGAAAAGTGGTTCATAGTGGGTTACCTCTGAAAAAACCAAACCAAACCAAATCACCTAAAATAGGAACTAAACTAAAAGGAATTACAGGAGTCAAAATAACTGTACTTAGAAACCTAGTTTCATTTAATTAAGGACACAATTTAAAGAGAAAGGTATGTTTACTTTATAAAATATACCTGATCAAATCCAGTGATCAAATCCAGTCATAAAGATTTAAAGATTCTTTTTCTTAATTAGTTAGTAAATAAATATACAATTTTCAGACATGTAACTGAGATTAAAGTATATCGTTACAGAGACAGGCCAGGCACATTCCTGAGATAGACAAGCACACAGGGAGATTTGGGACTGTGTCCTTTTTTTCTCATGCAAATCCTGATGTACTTGATGCAAATCCTGATAGGCTGAAGCTGCATTTTCTACAAATTGGAAAGGCTGAGTCAGTAACTGATTTATTGTCATTTTTGTTTCTGTCGCCTTTGCAGTCTCATAGATGCCCTTTTCACTGTACTTGCGTCCTGCACATCGGTCTCCCACTCTTCGGTGCGGGCCTGGGGGCTCCCGTATCCTGTGACCCCAGATGCAGCAGAATGCCTTTTCTGCCTCAGATAATCTTTTGAGCTCTCGGGAGCAGTCTTAGGGGAGTCACCGAGAGACATAAGTTGATTTTCTCCTGCCAGACCCGACAAAAGGGCTTGAGTGTTTATCAATGCGAGTTCTTCGTCTGCTATTGAATCACTTTCCAAAAGGGAAAGGTCATTAAATTTAAGTGGAGTCATCTGAGGAGAATTCAACTCTTTCTTCTTTATAGGTGTTTCGTATTTGGTGCCGCAAGCCCGTGGTGGCTGAAAGGCCTTCTGTGCAGCTGGAGAAACAAATGTACAAATGGGACTGACAGGCGGAGGTAAAGGCAGTCTACTCAAAAAATCCAAAGCTTTTCTCTTCTTGCAGCTTTTTGGGTCATCCATCTCTTTCTCCCCTTTACAATAAGGCTTTGAAATCATTTGGGCTGATCCAGGTGTGGAAACAGACTTCTCTTTTGGCTTACGAAGTGATAAAGGACTCTGGTAATTCATCTCACTACTGGGAGAAGACATCTGATAAAAAGACAAAAAGCAGCCTAGATAATTATGCACTAATATATAAAACATCATCAAATTAGCTTTTCATTAGAATTATATTTTTTAAAGATTCATTTATTTTAGAGAGAGAAAGAAGGGGGGAGGGGCAGAGGGAAAGGGAGAGAGAGAGAAGCTCAAGCAGACAGACTCCCCAGAGTATGGAACCCAATGCAGGGCTGGATCCCAACCCTGAGATCATGACCTGAGCTGAAACCAGAGTCAGACACTTAACTGACTGAGCCACGCCTGCACCTCTCACTAGAAATATTTAAGCACACAAATACCACACACATTGTCACTCCCCTCATGACTCATAGGTCAGATGATTCCAAGAGACCTTGATATGACTGTGCTCATTCCAGAAGGAAATAGTTTTGCATAAAGGATATAAAAATGACAGGAATAGAAAGAAGAATGAAGACTAATTGTACTAAAAGACAAAAAAGGAGGTAGGGGGACATAACTTATGCACTAATCTTTTTTTTTTCATTAACAGTTTAAACAAAGATAAGCATTTTTAAACCATTTTAAGAGCACAGACTGGGTTCTAGTAGGTATACTTTTCTATTAAGCAATTGTTCAACCTCTCTAGGCCATAGTTCCCTCATTTGTAAAGTGGAGATAATTTCCATCCCATGGATCGTTGTGAAGATTGAGTTAATATAGATATACCTAGCAACTGTCAGCTACTTAAGAATTAGTCATCAGCCAGTATTACTAAGACCTTATGGCTTGATGTACATGTATTGTGATTTAAAGAGTTAAATCAAACTGAGCTTAGAAACAACCCTAATTGTATAGACTAGTCCTCCGAGCAAAACGACACAAGCAAAGTATTTTCCATCACATGTACTTGCAAAGCTAAAAGTGAAAGAACCTGTTTGTAAAATATGCCCCCAAAGAATGTTACATTCTGGCTTTGATAAACAAGATAAAATTTCTAGATAACCTAGACTTACAGGAGACAGATAACAATTAACCACACTTTCTAGGTAAGTTTAATTACATTTTACCATGTTTACTAGGTATACACCAAAATATATTATTGCCTTCATTTATAATATTTACAAAATTCCTTAAATTTACATTAACTTACCAGAAATTTATTTCCCATGCCAAGGACTGTTTGAGCAGTGTGTGGCTCTGAAGCATAGTCTTTAGTCGGGGTGGACAACTTGGGACCGTTTGCATTAAGTATATGCATAAGTTTGTTTTCTGCATCATTGCAAAACATACCAATATTCTAAGAAAATAAATGGGAAAAGCTGTTTTGTAAAATGAAAATGGATATATTCATGTTTTCAGAAAATGTTACTTTTAAAACCAGAAATGAAAGGTTCAGACCAGAAGAAAAATAATGACACACCCCAAATTTGATAGCAATTGTCAAACAATCTGCCAGTGTAAAAATGCAAAGCCAACACAGCTGTTGGAGGGAGAGAGGGAGTCTGTATGTCAGGGAAGGAAAGAGATGGGAGAGATCTTTCCAATCATCCAGTTTAATAAGCAAGGTTTCACGTGATACTGGATTCGTAGATGGAAGATGGTCTCAAGGTCCAGCTCTATTTCCTACCTGATAGCTGTAAATCATCTAACATCTATAGAGTACGCCTTAGGTTAGTAGTAAAATGAGAGAATCACCTCATGTCTGTTCCAAGAATTAACTGAAACAATGTGTAGGTTAAACCACATAAAACTGTTGTTTCAGAAATTTCAATTGGTCAAATACCAGCAATTTTATAGGATTTAACCTAATTCATGCGAGTATTTTGTAAAACTTAAAAATGCTATGTAAATGACAGTTGTCTCTGAAGTACCCTTGAACAGTCTCAGAGAAAACCTGGATGTACTCTGTATGGGAGCCAAATAATGAATGCACCCCCCACTCCACCCTCCAGTTTAGAAACCAGATAAATCAGGGTGTTATTCTTCACTATGTGTACTGAGTCTTTAGACAAAATATTACACAAGCCTCCTTCACATAGCTGGCTACTCTAATGCTTTTAAAACGTAATTTTATTTACACATATTTTGAATAACACACATTTCAAATATTAAAGAGGCTTATCTTGAAGATTCTTTACTAGTTAGCAATTTATAAAATCCAAAATTTTATTGGAAGGCAGCACTGCAAAGTAGTTAATAGTTTGGGCTACGCATTCAGATGGCTTAAGTATGAATCCTGCTTCTAACAACCTGGCTGTGTGCCTTAACCTCTCTGTTTTTCATCAGTAAAATGGAAAAAAGCTCCATACCTCATAGAGTTGGTGACAGAATTAAATGCGACAGGGCTGGAACAAGGCCTGACACACAGTAAGCACTCTAAACTTTAGCTAATATTATTACTTGCTGTTTATATAGATTTAAGGATAAAATGCATACATTATCCAGGGAAGATAAATTTCAGTGTTCTATTTGGGAGTATTTCAAATCAAAGACAGATATAAACTATAAAATACTAGATATGGAGTTTAAAATGTAAATTTGGAATCGGCATGTTATTAACTAACTACACTGCTGACTGCTCTGAACCATGGGTAGCTCCTGTAATTCTTGTTGTTCACATGATGTGTAGCTCTGAACGTCCTCCTCAGTTTCCCCTCACTCAGCCCCCTTCAAATCATCATCTCTCAGCTGTTGTCCTCCCATCTCCTTAGGCTTATGAGCACTTTATACAGGATGCAACCTCATTACATTGTATCTCAACTATCCAGTTTTCATAGAAGCCACCATTTTCCCTTAATATTTGACCATCAAAATACGAAAATACCAAAATGCGTGGTAATGCACAAAGTAATTTTACCTCGATAGTATTTTTCATTTTGTGGAATAGCTCTTGAAAATGGCCCTCCTTTGGACTGGCAGAAAACCTGGAAAAATCTCCAGCAAATAAAATAGGAATTCCTGATTTGGCTTCTGGTCGCCACTGGAGGTTGCTTGCAGCAATTAATGTGTGAGCTTTAATAATGTCCTCATTAAGATCGGCCCAAAACTTTATTGCCAATAAATTATGGCATTCATCTGACAAATAGACCAAAGGAGCAAGACCTAAAGAAACAAAACACCCCACTTCATTATATATGTTAGGGAAATTTAAAAAATGCAAGGAACTTCTAATATGCCCATTTGTTTTGGTATGCTAATGGTAAAAACAGATCAAAATAACTAAATTTAGAGAAAGCTCAGGATTTCCAAAATAGCCTGTTGCTTATCATGCTAAAATGTTAATGCCAATATGACAACATATTCTATTACCGAGGCCATGGGGAAGCAGGTTCTTTGTTGGTGGGAATACAAATTTGTGCAATCCTCTGGAGAAAAAAATTGGTAGAACCTAGCAAAGTGATGCACGTTTACCTTTCCACTCAGCAACCCCACTCTAGTACTCTATTCTGAAGATGTACTTCCAATAATAGTGAGATACATATGAACAAGGTTCAAGAAAATACTGTGTACGAGCTTATTCACTGAAGCACCGTTTGTAGGTAATTATAAACAATTTAAAGCAGCCTGTATTACGGAAGAGTAGTATGGCACATTCAGACAACACTTACTATGCAGCTGTATGAAAGAATGAGGAAATGCTCTGAAAACACAATGGTCCAAAATCTTGGGGATGAAGCAAAAGCTGTTCTAAAGAGGGAGGTTTATAGCAATACAGGCCTACTTCAAGAAACAAGAAAAATCCCTAATAACCCTTACACCTAAAGAAAATATAAAAAGAACAAACAAAACCCAAAGGAAAGAAATTATAAAGATTAAAGCAGAAATAAATGAGACTAAAAAAAAAATTCAATGAAACCAGAAGCTACATCTTTGAAAAGATAAAATTGATAAACCAGACTAAAGCCAGACTCACCAAAAAAAAAAAAGAGAGAGAAAGGACTCAAACAAAATCACAAATGAAGGAGGAGAAATAATAACTGACAGCACAGAAATACAAAGGATTAGAAGAGAACATTATGAAGAATTATATGCCAACAAATTAGACAACCTAGAAGAAATGCATAAATTCTTAGAAACATGTAACGTTTCTTTTTTTTTTTTTTAAAGATTTTATTTATTTGAGAGAGAGAGGGAGAGAGTAGAGCGCACAAGCAGTGGGGACAGGGAGAAGCAGGCTCCCTGCCGAGCAGGGAGCCCAACATGGGGCTCAATCCCAGGACCCTGAGATCATGGCCTGAGTCGAAGGCAGATGCTCAATGGACTGAGCCACCCAGGCATCCCTGAAACATGTTAACCTTCTAAAACTGAATCAGGAGGAAACAGAAAATTTGAACAGACTGATTACCAGGAATGAAACTGAATCAGTAATCAAAAAATTCCCAATAAACAAAAGTTGATGACCAATGGTTTCACAGGTGAGTTCTACCAACATTTAAATAAGAATGACTACCTCTTCTCAAACTATTCCAAAAAAAAGAGAAGAGGAAGGAGAACATCCAAATTCATTCTATGAGGACAGCATTACCCTGATGAACACAGATGTAAAAATACTCAGCAAAATATTAGGAAACCAAATTCAACAATACATTAAAAAACAAACAACAAACAAACATTCACCACAATCAAGTGGGATTTATTTCTGGGATGCAAGGGTGTTTCAGTATTCACAGATCAATCATCATGATACATTACATCAATAAGAGGAAGGATAAAAACCGTATGATTGTCTCAATAGATGCAGAAAAAGGATCTGACAAAGTACAGCATGTATTCATGATAAAAATCCTCAACAAAGTAGGGTTAGAGGGAACATAACTCAACATAGTAAAGGCCACATATGAAAAACACACAGCTAACATCATATTCACTAGTGAGAAACAGAGCTTTTCCCTTAAGGTCAGGAACAAGACAAGGGTGCCCACTTTCACCACTTCTTATTCAACACAGTGCTGGAAGTCCTAGGTGCAGCAATCAGACCAAAAAAAAAAGAGAGAGAAAAGACATCTAAATTGGTCAGGAAGAAGTAAAACTTTCACTATTTGCAGATGACATGATACTATATAGAAAACCATAAAGACTCCACCAAAGAACTATGAGAACTGATAAATGAATTCAGTCAAGTTGCAGGATCCAAAATTAATACACAGAAATCTGTTGCGTTTCTATGTACTAATAATGAAATAGCAGAAAAAGAAATTAAGAAAATCCCATTTACAATTGCACCAAAAAGAACAGAATACATAGGAATTAAAAAAAAAAAAGCTCTCTATTCACTGTTAAGTGAAAAGAGAAAAGCACACCAAAAAAAGACTAAAATTCGTTACCCTTCATATAAGAAAGAAGTTGCTATAAGAAGATATATACATGTATCTTTCCACCTGTAGAGAACAAACATAGGAAGGATAAACCAGAAACTACAGAGACAGGATGTGGGTAGAGAGAAGGGAAGGAACAGCACTGGGGTAAAAGGGACGAGAGAGACTGACCCTTCTTGGAGCATGCCTTTGTGCAGCTGACTCTTCACTGTGTGAACGCAGCACTTCACACACCCTTCACAGAGCCCACAAACAAATAAACCCCACCAGATAGGAAATTCAAAATGGAACACAAACATATTTCCTGGCCTTTCTATCTAGAAGGGCCTAGAAGCAAGGGTACCTCTGAAGTAATGAGTACATAGTCTAGCAAGCAGATGTTGGCTGTAAACAGCATTTTCTCAAAAAAAAAAAAAAAA